TATTGAAGACTCAAGACAGCCATAACATTATGATTTTTTACAAGTGTATGTACACTTTTGACCACAACTGTACATAAATAATTTCATTCAATTCTCTGGTAATTATTGGCACATTTTGTCAGATGTGAAGACAAAGATACAATAACTGTCACTTGCATTTCTAATAAGAATGTCTTCTCACATGCAGATGAGTCTGCAGGTAAAAAAGACCTTAATGAGATGTTTCACATGATGGTTTAGCAGAAAGCAATCAGTTAAGAAACTGATCCTTATCCTTCAATAAGGATGGATATTGGATAGTTAATTTCTTATCTCTATAGTTTTTTTTATAAATCGAGGCAAAATTCATTTGTAGGAGAAAAACATCCAGGTTGACCAAGGAAGATATAAAAGTGTTAGGACTGGTGATGCATCCAGCTCGAGAGCAGAGTTTGCAGTAGGCTGCTGTGTTTCTGTTATCCAGTCATAATCTATTTTTACCAGTCAACTTTTAAAGGGGCAGTGTTATTTAAAATTGACTTTTTTGAGCTTTGCATCATGTTATAATGTTATTGCCTTATCAAAAACATATGTGGAGTGTTACCTTTATTCTTTTCATGCATGTTTGAGAAATCCTTTAATCTCCATGGCAACCATTCAGCTGTGCAAAATGCCTAGGTGGAGCTTGCACCGCCTTTGAGACTCAGCTCCTCCTCAGAGCTGCAGCTTCCAAGGTTCTAAGCTTCTGTCTCACAGAACTTTCCTCCTCCATGACTACCCCAGTCAGCTCCTTCAGACTAGCAGCAGCAATTGGCAAACACTTGGTGGAACTGTGCATCAGCTGAGCTCCTTATAGAAGCTACTTCTCAGTTCAACGCTGGTAAAAACGTTGTTAATGAGTTAATAGAGGAGCCATGAATTTTAGTTTTTAAAGATACACAGGCCCAAATTCAAGATGTTAAATTACAAAGAAAAATTTCTTTTAAGTCATGTTTGATACAGCATTTTTATAGTTAACATAGTTACTTGTTTGTACAGTAAAATTTTAAATGTGCTTTAAAATTATAATAAAGACAGTATTCAATAGTAATTAATTTTATTTAATATTCAACCCAAACATGCTGTGCTGGGAATTCTCATTGTGTTACCACACATCAAGCAGATGAATACATAACTACGTAACTTCTTAATGCTACTTCCAGCAGGACTCAACATGGCATCAAAAATCTCAAATCATCTCAAAATTGTTTCTTAAACACAACAATGAGTTCACTGCACTCCAGTGGTCTCTACAGTCCAGTAGGGCCCCACTCTGATGTGGTCAGATCACTGATTTGCATCATGAGTGTGCAGCGTGTTACATCGCTCTGCAACAGCTGAGCGATATAAAGATGAACATTTCTAAGAAATGTTTCTGTTAAATTTATGCTACGAAGAGTTACAGTAGATCTGAGGTGCAAAGGGAGCCAGCAAGGAGCTAGCATCATGCACCTAGCAACATGGCTAATTAGAGCAGTTTTTGTTTTTTCTTTCAAATTTTTGATATATACATAAATATTTATATTTAGAAAGGAAAACCAAACATCTAGCAAAGAGCATAGATTTACATTCAGTTGACTCTATTTTGTTCCCAGTTCCACAGAGCAGTAAATCTTTAACCGCTTTCTTTATTAGCCTGTTTTTCTTGCGTTTACGTAGTGGTAGAAAAGATTGAGCCGTTCTGGTGATAAACATCAGTAACAGGCACGATTAACAGCTTCCAGTCAGGCTTTGTGGTAATATATGAGGGTGGACATTTAATTCCAAAACCATTTGAGCATATCAACCCAAACTGAAGGTGCTGAAGGATTCAGTAGTGGGAATTCATAACTCTTTACAGCTCAGTTGCTTTTTCTTACTTCTCATTCAGTGTGTTCAGCCATGGAATGCAGGGCTGCTGTTTTTGAGGGGGGGGGGAAGTAAGCTTTTAATTGCACTTTATTTGGCATCATATCTTTTTCTCCTCTCACAGACAGTGTGAGCACTGCACAAGTCTCTGTAAAGCTATAATGTGTTCTCCGCTGTGGTAATATTTCACTAGCAGTAAAAGTTGCAGTAACGTGTCGGTCTGTTGAGCATGACGGAACATAACAGCAGTAAACAAGTTAAAAAAGACACTCGGGGTGTTTTCCTACCTGATAGTCTGGTAGACTGGGTTTGATTGGGGACCAAAATTGCAACATTTGTTACATTTTCAGCTGCTGTGGTTCTCTTTCACACTTCACTGTGTCAAATGATCCAGTACTTTTGAGAAACCTGTTCCCCCACTCGCCTGTGGGGGTGCTGTACCAGTCACGGAAGGAAACGACATGAAAATGTCTGAAGAAGACACTGAGCAACTTCCTTCTTCACAAAATGTTAACAGAACTGAAGTGTAAAAAATTTAACAAATGTTAACGGTTGTAGGATTTCTCTTTGGTATAAGAGTACAAACCATTTCTCCCACTAGTGCCAGACTCACATGTTTGTTTTGGTTGTCTTTACCCAGAATGCCCTATACTGTAGTTCACTTCCTGGTTTTGGAGCGTCTCCAGTCCACCACTCTGATGTGGTTCAAGTGTAAATCAGAGTGGTTCTCCTCTGCCTGTTGCTTGTTTCTGTTACACCCATAAAGTGACAAACAACAGCAATGGATGACAAAGACTGAAGTTGTTCCAGCCTAAAATAGCATCTTAATGCTAAACATGTAGCAGCAGACAATGCTAATTAATGTCAGTGACTACAGTCCTCCTTTATGTAGAAGTTCCATGAATGATCAGGAGTTCCTGAAACTCTGGAAAGATGAATGGATAGAATAACACTTCGCTCCAATCTGATGACTGAAGAACCTGAATAACAGATTTTAAAACAACACATATTGTTATTGAGCTCAGCTGTCTGTTTATTCAATAATTTAGCTGCTAAAAGGCCTTTTGAAGTGAACATGTTTATTATTTGGCCGATAAATGGGTTTTGATTGAAATGCGATTAAATGTGATTAATTAATTACAGACCTTGAGATTAATTTGATTAAAACTTTTAATGGACTCCCATCACCAGCATAAATATTACCTAAATCTGACTGGGTGACATAATATGTTGAGTCTTTCTCTCAGTTCAGCTGTTGCTGTACACTTAGAACGTCTGTAAGAATGGACAGAAACAGTGATGAGGGTTTAGATACATGTGGAGCTTAACCAACCAAGAAATGCACAGTTCACTGAATTACCCACTGATGTCCTCCAGCTGCTCCTGGCTGACTCCACTTTATTTAATATGTTTGTATTTAAATGTTGATGCAAAAGAACTGAAAACTCACTGAACCCTTTGGTTCTTGCTTGACTTTTTTTTTCTGACGTCATTGTTTGCCATAAATAGCCTTTTTTTTTTTCTTTTTACAAAAGTCTCTCATTCAGACAGAAACCTTGTATCTCCAAAACTGAAACTTTTCAGGAACCTTTCTGAATATAAATTCTTACTGTTTTGTCAAACAGTAAGAACTGGTTGAAGTTAGATTTTTTTTAATGCGTCAGTGAAACTCTACACAGGTGTGATCAGTGGAGTTGATTTTTACAAGAAAACAAAAATTAAACACAATGTCATTTCTCACAGACTCAGAGCAAAATATAACATTTAATTTTGCACTTTCTTTAGTGACTTGTAACTATGGAAATGGAGGGTGCCAGCACACATGTGAAGATACGGACACAGGGCCGGTTTGTGGCTGCCACCAAAAGTACGCCCTGCATTCAGACAGCAAGACCTGCATCGGTGAGTGACAGCCATCATGGCCTCCCAAATTATGTAAACTCGTGACTTTAAATGGGCAGATAAGTATAACATTTTGAACATTTATTAACTGAATGTTGCCAATTAACAAAGTAAAAACAGCACAGATGGAACACACTACTGCACAGTGCTGCTGCTTGTTAAGATCCAGTTCCTGACTTATGCTAATTTTAAATCTCACCCTGAAACAAGAGCTGCTTTGGTTTTTCAAGCTGATTTCATGAACATTTATTATTGTGACTTTTTATCCAAACATATTGCTCTATAAATGGGCTGATTTTTACTGTGGTTGTCATTCTTAAGCTTTTAGCTGGAACTTTAATTTAATCAAACTTTGAGTTTGTTTTTAGTTAATAGAGCTTGGATACTACTTGGTGCTACGTTAGCTTGGATACTACTGAGCTGTTTGGATAGCTAGCTTGCTGTACACACATTTCCTCAGTAAAACTGACCTTACAAGTGGAGTTGTCTTAAAGATGCAGTAGTTAACTTTTATAAAAAAATTTTTTACACATTTGCTAAAACTGTCACTACATCCTGACAGAGTAATATGAGACAGATAATCTGTGAAAAAAATCTAGCTCATCTGTCTCCTCCTTGCGGTCCTACTGCTATGTGTAGAAATACACCAAACAACCAATCAGAGCCAGGAGGCAGGTCTTAGCGCTGCCAATAATTCTGGTGTAGCGCTGAGGAGACAATAGAAGACAATAATTTGTCTTCCAAAGGGATAGTTCCGATATTTGAATATATTAGTTATATTTGTTTCAGAATAAACTTTTTCATTTTGCCTTTATAACTGGTTGAAGATTAATGAAATGTTCCAGGTAAGTGCGGATGTTCTTCCTTACCTCTTTCTTCAACTCCTCCCTACTGATACAGACTTGTGACGCCTGAAGGGGTCTGCAGTGCCAGTAACAGGTTGTCATGTGTTTTAGCATCAAATGCTTGAAAAATGTGGAGGATTAATGGCACCACCATTTATTTCGTGATTTTATATTTTGTAACCTCAAGGTACAAATACATACTCAGAATTAATCACTTTTTTTTCTTGTCACACTAGAAAGTTCTCTCACTTTCAATTCTAGGACTTTATGTATGAGGACATGATAGAAATGATTATCTCTATACAATACTTTTTTTCTAACATTGACTGTACAAAACCACAGAACCAACATTACATTAAACACAGTCATTAAACAAAGATGAACCCAAGATGGAAACGTTGAGTGTAAAAAAAAAGACAAATACACCTAAAGATTCAAGAGTTGATTGATCCACCTTTAGTAACTCTGTCATAATTTCTCACATCACTATGAATGTATTCATGCCCTCTGTTCGCTCTTACAGTTCTTCGTTCATTGAAGTCTGAACACTTCTCTTCATGCCTCGATTCTTTTGTCTTCAGTCTTCAGACATTCTGCTGCAGATTTGCTTCCAGCCATTGTTCCTTTTCACAATCTATGCAGTTTGGGCAATACCATGGCAGATGACTTCACTTCTAACTGTAGAGTATTTGAGTGGTAAGAGGAGTTTATGAAGCAAAATGACCACAAGCTTCCAATCATCCAAAACAACCCTAATCATTTCCTTTTTACCATCTTGTTGTACTTTTCACCAAATATTAGGCATTGGCTTATGGTGGAGCAAATCTTCTTCAGTCTCGCCTGTCCAAACGACATTGCTCCAAAAGTCCTGGGATACATTCAGATGGAACTTTGCAAACTTAAGTCACGCTGTCATATTCTTTTCCAAATGAAGAGTATTTTGCTTTGCAATCCTTCCAAACAAGCAATACTGATTTTGTCTTTTTTTTACTGTACCAACATCAGCTTGAACATTTAAAATGCTAATAGACAACTGTAAAGACTGACATAACACCATTGGTATTGTTTGCTCTTTTTCTAAGCTTGACCTTAAAGTGAATTTGTTGTGTAATCCTGGAAGGATTGTGACAGCTGCCTTAAATGTTTTCCACTTGTGAACAAAATTTCTTCCAGTAAAGCTGTAGACAAGAAATTACCAAGAAAATGTGTCCCCCCCCTTCCCAGAATGTTGAGCTGCAATGATTGCTTCTCTTATTTTCTTTCCATTCTGGCATCGTGTTAAAATACTCCTGTATGGTCCAGACCACCAAACTGCCAAAACTCCTCTTGTTTTTAGGGTAACAGTTAATGATGTTAGAAAATCTACTGGAGTAAAGGACACTTGACTACCAGGCCAATCAGAGAACAGAAGAATCTGTGAACGATGGCGTTAGTTTTCTGCTCTGTTTTAGAATTGTAATCTTCCTGTAGTTTTGGCGACGGCAGCGGAGGAAGTGAACGAAACCGCTCAGTCCATGTTGATCACTCTTGCAAATATTAAATTAACGTTGTCAGCCGCCTGGCTCCAATCTGCTCTTCTCTCATCACAGTGGAGGTTGGTTGTTTACAGCACACCTAATTTTTTTCTCACACACAGCATTTCCATTTTGGGTTTGTTTTTATTCAATATTTAGAGTATGGGAACTATTGTGATTTTTTTTCTTGCATTTTTATGCTAAGCAATGCATTTCTTGATAGACATTTATGACATTTTTTTCAACCGCAATTTTATGCTTATTTATGGACAGACTGAATTGTCAGATGCAATTCTGCAGTCATGCATTTCCCCCATCTTCCATACTCTTGTGTGCTAGAAGTTGAATCACGTTTCCACATGTTCCAGTCATGTACAATTTTTAAAATTGTATGGAGTTTCCAAGACATTTAACAATAGTGACGGCTTAAGAGAGGGACAATGTGTCAGGCCAGCTGGTGTTGGCGATGTTACATCATTAACCAGCCATACACAGGAAAACACAAGGACATATTTTTGTCTTTATCTCTCTCACAGTTTGTCTCTGGCCCTCACCACTGCAGCCCCTGGCTGGGCAGCAGCGGAATGTGACTGCTGCTAACCCTTTTTCTTTTCAGCTCGTTAAGGAAGTGGAGCAACACATCAACAGAAGTCTGCAGTACGGAAGAAGAGCGCAGGAAACCTTGCTCTGACTCCCAGTGTTTGATGTCTGTTGTTCCTCACCGTGTCTCTCCCTCTTTCTTCATATTTTAATGAAAGAAGAGCCTCTCGGTAGTCCCAGGGACCCCTTAGCTCTTTGGACCCACCTAAACCCCCAACCCTGTGTTACACTCTCTACACAGATTCTGTCCCTCTGCTCCCTCTTTTGCTTCCTGCTTCCTGGTGATAGTACCTGATTGCCTGTCTTGTCTGAACATTCATGTGACAACCAATTCAGGGGTAGAAGGACTATTTCTCAGGACATAAACCTGGGTTGGGGGGTCAGGGGCCTCATCTTAGAATCTGTGGCCAAACAGACATCTCAATTGCAGCCTGATCTTAGATTTCGCAAGCCTTACCTTACCTCCCATTGACCCCATCATTTGCCATCTCCACGCAAATCCCGTGCAAGAACTGTAGCAACCAACTGACAAGCAACTGCCAACTCAAAGATGGCATCCATGCCTCCTTCTCTTCCACCGACAACGCATAGCTGAACAGAGAGGCAGGGGCTTGCACTGTCCACCCATGTCATAATTTGCCATTCCTACTGCATGTGTCCACTGCCATTTGTGACACCATTCATTTGGTTCCCTCTTTTACTAATCCATCCATATGTTGCTTGCCTTGTTAACCAGCTGCACTGGAGTCCCTGCACTGCATTTGTATTGATTCCCTTGTTTCTTTCTCCCTTTTTTTTTAACCATTTGCCTTTTTAAATGCATATTTAAAGTAGAATTTTATTGTTGGTGTTTCGGGGGAGGGGGGGGGGGTATTGAAGTA